GTCGCCGGACTCGTCTCCTACACCCGCGTCTCCAGCCTCGGCGTCACGACCCCAGATAAACCAGTCGCCTGATAGTGCTAGTAGTGAAGGGCCGGAGATTAGATTTGAGAATGGCAAGCAGATTAAGAAGGGAGAGGAGTTCCATCCTAATATGAGGAGAGGGGCGCCGCCGGAGTTTGAGGGCGATGTCAATCCTAAGACGGGGGAGGTGGGCGGACCGAAGAATGAGCCGCTTCGGTGGGGGAGTACGGGGAAGACGGGGGATTGGAGTTATAATGGGAGGGTTACTGATTTTTGAGGGGGTGCTCAGAGAAGAAATGAATGGGGGAGTCGAGGGGTTGAGTGGAGGGACTATGGATGATGCGGATATGTATATACTAGGGAGGGTGAAAAAGATGGTCGATTGTGTTTACACTGTTGTAGAGAGTGGAAGGCATGTAAAGACGAATGCCATGATGCATATATCTAGTCGTTCTTCAGATCTGATGACTATTGAAATGCATACATGTGAGAGCTCGTGCCTGCGCCTACCCTAAACAATTCCGCGTTGTATGGAGTGGTAGTGAATGAGCGGATATCTCCTAGGAGTGATTGAGTGAGTGCCAATGCTTCTATTATTATTTCGAAGATGCATTCGAGTATCTTTCGAAATATGATAACCCGCAAGAAGTGTCGATTGTACACTAGAAGAGGGCAAGCGCGTTGGACAGTAGCAATGCCATTATAAGAGAGACACCATTTCAAATGCATTTGAGATCAACTACACTACATACAATTCGCGGTTCGTACATTTAAGAAGCGATATCGGAAGCACAGCATACCTAGGTAGATTACCGCTGCCTCGTACGACATCCTGGAGTAAGCTCCGACTTCCGCATCTTGCAACTGCGGAACATGTGCGGAACGTCCTTTATGTGCTGTAGTAGAATGCTGAGGTATACATGGTGAGGTTTAAGAGTGGTGGAAGTTCTAGAAGTCTGGTTTGGTGGCTTGCATGGCGTTCGGATAGCTTGGAGTTCCGCGGCAGTGCACTCCCCCGTATCACCGAATCTAACAACGCTCTGGTGCTTCGATGCGGGGTTCATCCGTGCTCGGTAGACTTTCGGTTTCCGAAATTGAAGAGTTGCTGCTTGGTTCTCTGTGGCTGAACCGTGGATGGAATTTATTGATGCACGACCGTTGGAATGAACCCTAATGACGCACTTGGTCCCTGAGGAGCGCCATGTGTTTAGGACAAGCAGGTTTCCAGCCGGGCGAGTGCTTGAATAACACACAGTACAATTGAGATGACAGCTGACGATGCAGTGGGGCGTACCTAGGCATTCACAAAAGTTGCAAGAGGATCAGCCAAGCACGTCTCGACGTGGCTTTTGAACGCCATTCGGGCATCGCGATGAAGCCAAGTATTCCCACATGAGCTTGCGCAGCATCATTGCTTGCTATGATGAGGCCAAGGAGCGAAAACCTTGGATCGCAGAACACGACTGTTTCCACAAAATTGCGTGAGGGCGGGTGTGTTGTTCAAGGCCATGGTGGTTTCATTCCTGTGCCCAGGTTTCAGCCGTGCTGGACGGGCGTTGGCAGGGCCGATCCTGCCCTTTGGGGGAAAGCCGGCAAGGATGTCGCTTATCATCCTTGGAGTGATCAAGCTTTCGCATCATGGATTTAGCTGCAGGTCCCACATGGCTTTCTGATCATCAGCGCTGGCCGCCCGCCAGCCGCTCTTCTATCGTAGATCTGATCTCATTGTTGTCGTCAATCCTCATCTGCCGTCCCGTCCAGCGCTAGCCATCATGCTGCATCTCCCCAACTGCCCCTATCGCTGTCCGCAATCCGGATTGAGTTCCGCGGGCCTCAGGTGTCCAACGAAACACAGCCCTGGAGTCGTGCAGCAATGGTCTCGGTGTAATTACACCGTCAGCGCGCGCTACGACCTGTCGGTAAATCACCCTGATCAGCACTATCCACTTCCATAGGCCTAGGGCTACCCAGTCACAGTGTCTGTCGCATCCTCATGCATGCGAATGGTCTGGATTTCGAATTACCCTGGCTTGATGCTGTGGCTGGCGGCGGTACGTGTTGAGCAATGCAGCGATAGGTACCTAGGTAAGACCAACAGCAAAGTCGCCCGGGCTCTTTTATACCCGCGGAGTCCGCCCTTCTGTGACGTGGACCTGAGTTGTCCTACCATCGACTCAGCCCTCGAGCTTACGTTTGCTAGCAGCACGATGCTAATGTCACTCATTGTTCCCACGGTATGTACTCACGCAGTGCCAACAGACGCCACCCGTGAATGCTAACGCCTCGGAAATAGTGTACCTTCGCACGTCAGTTCCCGCTATGAAACTATGATGCAATTGTCAAGTTTCCTTTGTTTTTCTATCTCGTTCCCCTAGAACAACGATCTACCATAGCCCTGCCGCACTATAGCATAGCTCGTATCGGAACGACCCTTCGGCGACAACCAGGGGGCAGCGCGGCCGAACACGATACAGATTGTCAAGATACTTTGCGGCTGCCTTTCTTTCCTCGCTTTCTCACACAGCTGTCGACAATGTTTCGTTTGCTGCTTTGTGCAGCGCTTTTCTTTCAGCAGGCCCTCGCATTGAAGGAGACCATCGACCTTGGATACGCGCAATACCGTGGGAAAGATATCGGCAATGGTGTCATACGATGGGCTGGTATGCGGTATGCCCGCAGGCCAATACGTTCAGATGGACTTCGATTCGCTGCACCTCAAGATCCCGAAGATGAGCGCAATGTTGTTGACGCTACAAAGGTACAGAGCGTTTTCACGGTTTGTGGACACCACGCTAACAGCAGTTTAGTTTGGACCCCTATGTATCGGCACCAAGAGCAGCCTGGCAGCCGAGTTTGGGGGGAAACACTCGGAAGACTGCCTGTTCGTCAACGTCTTTGCACCAGAAAGAGCTACCAACAAAAGCATGTTACCGGTTTATGTCTTCATTCAAGGCGGCGGCTTCAACATGAACGGCAATGCGAATTACAATGGTGCAGACTTGATCGATGCCGGCGACGACGGCATGGTTGTGGTCAACTTCAACTATCGAGTAGGGCCTTATGGATTTCTGGCTAGCAAAGAGATTGTCGCAAACCAGAGCCTGAGTTTGAACAACGGACTGAAAGATCAGAGGAAGGCACTCGAATGGGTCCAGAAGCACATTCAGCAGTTCGGAGGCGATCCGGGGCACGTTACCATTGGAGGCGCAAGTGCTGGTGGGGGTTCAGTGGTCTTCCAACTTACCGCATACGGAGGTCGAGACGATGGCCTCTTCCACGCCGCTGCTGCTGAATCTCCAGCCTTTCCGTCCATGCGAGATGTCGAGAACAGCCAATGGCAGTATGATGAGCTACTACACCAAACCGGATGCGCGGATCTCAATTGCATGGCCAGCTTGGATGCGGTCATCTTCCAGGATGCTGTACGTACTCTCCTGAAGCCTTTCCCAGGCGGCAAGAACCCACCGCTTTACTTCTGGAACCCGACATTGGACTACGATTTCATCAAAGACTTCACCTTCAACGAATTGAAGGCTGGCCACTTCGTCAACGTGCCTACTATTTTTGGTACCGCCACAAACGACGGGATCAACTTTGTGGCCAAGAGTATCATGTCTCAACCTCGAGCTCAAGACTTCCTAGTTGATCAATACCCCGGTATAAAATGGGACACGATTCGTCAGCTTTGGGATGGCAACATTGGTACCACTGGCGACGCTCGCTGGAGATCATTGACCGCCGATGTCTATGGTTATATCCGCTATAACTGTCCTAGTCTCAACATTACTGATACGTACGCCCTCAACAACACGAACCCGACTTGGCAGTACAGATGGAATGTTGGAACTGCATCACACGTTGGCGAACTCCTGCCAATCTGGAACAATGCCACTTCAGCGGCTGGTGTCTTTGTCCAGGCGTACTGGGCATCATTCATACGAAGCTATGACCCAAACACCCACGCCGCAGAGTATCTAGTCTCCAAGGGTTCAGAGCTACAGAGCCCGGACTGGCACTCGTTCGGCGCAAGCGAAGGGCAGCGATTAAGCTTCAACGACAAGAATGAAGTAGCCATGGAAGCTATTCCCGAGACCGAGTGGCAAAAGTGCGATGCCATCGACGACATGGGTTTGCACCTGAAGCAGTAAGTCCACACCCTCTCTAATCAAGCGGCCTGTCATATGCCGGCAGATTGCGTACCGATGATATTCTTGCCTTATTCAGAAGTTACGCCAAGTCGGGAACGTGAGCTAACGAAGACCGTAGACCCGTATTCGACCCCACCTCTCTCGGAACTCGGCACACACCTCTTCCATCCGCGTACATGGGCGCCGCTACCATGCTCCTTAGCTTTTTCTACTGGGCTTACATATGAACAATGCGATGGACAGTAGGACGCAAGACATCAAACATTCGTACGCCAAACGGCGACGCAAAACTGAGACATCTGACATACGATGTCATTCGGAAGCCATGTCGATACCCCACGGCTGACGCATCGCACGAAGAGAAGACAAATGCCGGAAGTGAGCTGTATGGCAGCTAGTTACACATCCGCGAGGAGGCAGTAAACACCCGAGGAAGAGAAGAGAAAGATGCATGAAGAAGGAGCGAAGGCAGAAGGCCCAGCATGAGATCAGAGGAGCTAGGAGGATGGCAGTGAATGATGGGCCGGTACCTCGTACAAGGCTCTCTGGGCGTCTTGCTCTGTTCACTCATCAAGGCATCGTTCATTGTGAATGATGGACGCTCCTCTACCCTAAGAGCGCATCGTACAGACGATGAGTTTTCACACTGACTTTTGCCCACGCGCATATAAGCAGGTATCTTTTGTTCCAAGAAGGGTGTCTTCATCGTTGTGAGCTCAATATTGCACGCATCTCCAACCCATCACACGTACCCATTTTGGAGGAGCTTTTGCGAAATACAAATATATTCTTTTCACCTCATAAGTCTCGAAACGAGTGCCAACCGCGCTCATGGGCTACCCACGGCCTACAGCGTCTGCGAAAGGGAAGATGAAGGCATGTGATGATGAAATTGGCGATGAAAACTGTCCGCGCGTAGTGGACGACTCCGATGCGGCTTCGGATTTCTCTTTCGATGCGATCCCGCGGGAGCCTTTGACACACACAGTCCTGGGGTGCACAGAGGACTCTACCTCGTACAATGTCGCTGCAAATTTGAGTGAGCCGTTTGGGCAGCCAGTGGCAGTACCTGTTTTCACTTCTTCCTTGCAAGAGCACTTTGGTCCACTCGACACCAACTTCTTGACGCCTTCAGTGACTAGCAACGCGACTAATCGCTCTACAAGCACCAACCCGCAACCGCGATACCACCTTACAGAGTCGCGCGCGCGTCGTCACTCAAGCGACTCTATGTCGCTCTACTCATGGGAGCAACCCGCGCCGAAACCACGCTACTACGCTCAGGCGCTATCTGGAGAGGACCTGAAAGCGCTCGCACGAGGCGAGAAGAACCACAACCTCCAAGAGTGGTCGGACGAGCGCCTCTTCACTCACCATGGGGATCGCAGGGGCTTGATACCCCAGGCCATGCCCTTGGAAGAGAAGATGATCGCGCTCGCAGAGATTGAGCACAAGATGCAGCAAAGCCAGCGCGCTGTTCCCAAGACGAAGGAGAAGGTGCGTAATAAAGTGCGCATACCCCGGATTAGGAAAACAACTGACGATACGAAGGATGAAGAACATGGTCGCACGCAATTTTGGCAGTCTTCTCAGTCGACATACGACCTTCGCTCTTCTATACTGCCACCTCCACTACCTCGGTCAACACCAACAACACAACCTGAGGAGTACGAAGAGCCACGCAACCGTCGCTACTCACACACTCGTGCAGTCAGCAACGGAGACTACTTCTACCAGCCGTCCAGCCCTCGTACAAGCGCATACAACACCCGACGTATCTCGCCTCTAGCAAGCCCATCGGGCCCGTCCTCGTCTAGCTCTTCGAACCATGTACGCAGCCCTCTAAACCAAGAAGTGCTGTTTCGCGCTAACCCAGCGACGACGTTTGACTCTTTCCTCGTGCCACACAAGTCTGGCACGGGAGAGGTCCTTGCGGAGTCCAAGAACGCGAAGAAGGATAAGACGCCGACAGCGAGCCTGAGCCCAAGTCCGAAGGCGTTGGCGAAGGTTAGGCGGTTGACGAAGATGCCGTCGATGCCGCTACTGCGGAAGCGTAGTAGTGGTTCGTGAGGTGGGTAGTTGCTTCTGGTTTGGAGAGATGATGAGGGATGTGCTTTTGTTTACGTTTTTGAACACGTTTAGATGGTTTTGGATGTACAGATGAGGTTATTCTTGATTAAAGGCTCATATACAACGCTTGTATTAGTGTTGTATGCATCATTTTGCCGTTCAGTCATGAACTGAAAATGCATGACGGTGGAAGAAACGTTCCTTCGACACGTGGTGAGCCTAACACTAATCAAGCATAGCGCCATCCAAGAACGAGCTGTCTGAGAAAGCACCGTTGCTCCTTCCTTCCGTCTCAACATCCAGGTGTCTCACATCACGACACCTTACGCTACCCGGTCTCATCTCAAGTGAACGCCGCTTATGTCTGCATCTCACCTTTCAACACTCTCTCATACTCCTCCTCTTCAACAGCCTTCACATACAACGTAACGTCTTTACCAGTATTCCACTCGGCATCGACTAGGACTTGTGTCAAGCTATGACCCCAGAAGCCTGCCTTCCGATACTGACTGTGAGGTTTGGCCCACTTCCACAGGAACATGCGGCCTTCTGGAACCAGCTCCCCACTTTCACCACCGAGAACTGTGAAGCTCAGGATATGTACCAAGACGCTGTGGCCACCTTCATCGCCACCGTCATCTTCATCGCCAGCTTTTGCGTCTCGCAATCGGGCAACGAGCTTCGATACCATCGCTGTGTCTTGCGATGAAGCCTCAAGATCGATCTGGTTGCGCAGGAAGTTTGAGAGATTTAATTCGCTGACTGGGACGCGTACTTCTCCGAAGTCTTCATGGGACTGGATGAGTCGGATTTGAGCAGGCGTGAGCTGTGTATGTAGCTGTATGCTGGGGCTTGAAGGCGCCCCGTATCTCATGATGGTCGATGATTTCGGTGTAACGGCTACGAGGAAGGTGTAAGGGCGTGTCAGCGTTGTTACATCTGAGTGCAGTTTGTAACCCTTCGAAAAGTCAGCATCGCCACCGATACGCGCTAGCTGAGTTATCTCCTACCGGAGTCAGTGATATCTGGTGCGCCATCGTGAGTGTTGTGTTAGTTTTCACATGACTCTACCAACATGATGTAGGTGAGTTCGGATATATCGGCTACTTTTTAACGAAGGATGGTTGCCTAGAGGATCTGATTTGATCGATTAGAGTGCCAAGTGTACGTACCGAAGCTGTCATCGCACATGCAGCACATCACCCTCGACGATTACCAGTCGAAAAGCTTATCCTCCCCGTAAAACTGATCAATGATACCGTTGCTCTCCGCCTGGATCCAAACACCCATAAGATCCACAGGCGAGAACTTAAGCCATCCATTCCACACTGTTTGAGGACATCCACTACCTGGACGACCTGCCGCAGCGATCACCTCAGGTCCCTCCATCGTCGTCTTCATCCCATCTAGCAATTTTACAAACGCCTCCTTGGCATTGTATGCCAGTTTAAGAGAACTTACGCCTTCCGGCGGCGTCTCTCCTATGGGCTCGGGGCCGTTCTCTAGACTCTCAAGCGCCTCATCATCGATGACTATACACCAAGCCCACTTTGGACCGAGTTTCTCCTCATTGGGAATATCATCTTGTATTGCAGAAGGCCCAGGCTCATGCATCGTCTCCGGGAAGACCTTTTGAGCATAATGCTGGCGGAAATGCCTGCAGACGACGTCCAGCGACGCGCCAGGCATATAAGCAGCAGGATCGAGACGTAAGATGTCTATCATCTTTTGGTTGTATGGCGCGGGGTTGCTATAACGCAGGTTATCTGTTGCGTGGGCGTAAACTTTGCGGATCACTGCTTGGAAGTGCGCATCATCATCGGTCGCATCTGTTGTTCATCAATACTTGCACTCGATAGGCTGCGTTCATTCCACTGACCTGCTCTGGTTTCCCTGTCTGTATCTTCGTTTGAGACTTCCTGGCCTTGTGGGCGCGTATAGGTGCCGTAAACGAAGAAGCCCCAGGTCGGATCTGCCCATCTTTCAAACTTCTGCAAGAATTCTTTACAGTCGTTCATCTGGCTCTCTTCTTGTGTTGCCATGCTTGCTTGTCCTGTGTTGCGCGAGCGATCGTTGGCAAAGGATAAGCGTGAGACGCGCGCAGGCTATGTAGGATCGCAGGACTGCGGGAACCCGTGGACGCCTGAAAGGCTCGGGGGTCAGGTCCTGTCGGCTCTGAGAGCGCTGACGTAGGAATGAGTCCTTGCAGAGTATATTCAAGTTTGCGAAAGAACTAACGTCTACTTGTTTCACCGTGCATCACAGTCAAGAGATGGATTGGTCTGTGAGTTGGATGCCGGGGATGGGCGCAGGGCGAGGCCACGCCACCTGCGCCCCCCGCGCGTTCGAAAAAGTAATCATACATTGCTCCGCACCTCTTACACCAAAGTGAACGTCGCTTTGCCCCCAGCTTCCCAATATGATGGCAAAGGTTGAGTCTTGTCGTCAATGGTGAGCCGGCCCATGCCGACTCGTTTGTAGACGTCGGCCTGAGATGTGGACACCAAGGCTAACCACATATACGCAGCGCTATGTCTATCCTCACACACGACACAAAGACAACATGTGACCTCCAGTATGGGCTTCTTGAACGGATCTGAGTCGGGGAAGAAAAGTCCCATGTCCTCCCGGGTATGACGCGTGGTCACACGCCGTCCCCACGCTTGTGGAAACCAAGGTGACCAATTGCCTAGCTCTACATCTGCTTTGATGAGATAACCTCGAAATCGAAGGGGTCTCGTGTCTACTTGTTGGAAACTCATGGTTTGATCTGAAGGCGATTCGTCTCGACCATAAGCTGTCTCTTCGAGATCGTCATCAGCGTGGCCCAGTTGATCGATCGTTATGTCGTAGGACTCGGCCCAATGTCGCAACTGCTTTTGTTCGAACTCAATGGATTTACCCCACTGCGATAACCAGGTCCAAGAGGGAGCGTCTGGTCTATCGATAGCTTGCTGATGAGACGAATGTGATGTATGCGCACTGTCGCCTTTATGAACGGCCCAAAGTAGTCCCAAAGGCAGGTCCTCTTTCCAGAGCCCGTTGATATACGATAGTTGGTTATTCTTCGCAAATACATTCGCAATGCCGGCAATGGCTGGTAGAACATCATTTGCGTACGTGAGCGAGCGCTTGCAGTAGTTCTCAACAAGCTCGCACCAGCACGTGAACATATCCTTTCGTCTTTGACCGTCCGAATCCTGTGCAGCTCTACAGTCGTACATCCAAGAACGCAGTTCATGATTTTTGGGGCGCATAGTAGCGTTGCGCTTATGATCATGAGGGAGACTCTCACAAAGAGTAGAATGTCGGCATTCCCACTTTAGTTGGCGAGACCCGAATTTCAAAAGTCGTGGTGACAGGAGCTCTTCCTGTAGAACCCATCCTCTTTTCTGAAGAGGCGACTGCTTTGATTCAGTATGTAAGAGGTTGAACGGGTTATAACAAGCATATCTCGACACTTCCAACACACGGCTGTCGAAGGTCGCCCTAAAATCCAATTTGCAGGGTTTAGACGTGCGAGGATCTCGTGGAATGGACAATCCAGCTTCAGAATCATCTCCTGCTTCCGCAAACAATGTTATTGTTGACGCTTGGTAAGTGCTGCCCATCTGGCTGATCTCATTTTGCAGGTCCTCGGGTGAGTCGTGTATGATGCAAAGTGCATCAATCCACAGATACTCGAACCCCAAACGATGTGTAACCAACAGGGCGTGCTGGAAGGTCTTTGGTAGGGCTTCAAGCGGTATCTTCTGCTTATGACTGGCGATGTTCTCAGTCAGAGTGCAGTACCTCTTCGTATCGCCCCATTTGTAGCTTAGTGTAAGATACGGAAGGCGTCTTTCCTCGCCGTCTTCTAAGACAATATCTCTGGGCCCTTTGATACGAATGACGCGGGTAGGTAAGGTGTAGTCTGTGTCGATACTACAGCCGGGGTGTTCGCTCAGGCATAAGTGAGACCACGTCAACGCAAGTTCCATGTTTGCTTCTGATAATGTCGAAGAGTCTGTCCAGTACGAATACATCGGATCTTCAGCATTACTATCGCCGGCCGCAGGATTTGGCGAAGCTAACGCCGCCAATGGCTTTTGAAATGCGACTACAGATAGCAGTCTGTCAATGAGACTTCATAACGGGTGGATAGAGGTTCTTACCTGGTAGATCTCTCCCGCACTGGAAAAACCAGTTGCGTTCGCAACTGTACACTGTGAGATTGTCGAAGCATGGAGTTTCCACCCCTTGATCGTCGTAGTTGAGAGAAAGATTGAAGACAATCTGTTCCCCGGCAACGCGCGTATCATTCCAAAGTTCCATATCCATAAAAAAACGATGCGCAATGGTCTTGCAGAAAGGGCAGCCTAATTCCGCGGTCTGTATAAGAGAGGCAAGGCCCGGAGAATGCAGATAGTATAGTGACGCGCATGGCGATTGGATGACCGCTCCCTGCAACTCGAGTGAGCAATCTTCATACGGTATGAAGTGCATGTTGCAGCACTTATGACAGAGTGTCGTTGCAGCAGCGCCGACAGTGGCGCTTTGAGGCTGGATATCTTGACTCTTGCTTGCCCGGTATTGCTGTAGCTTGATCCCAGGTGTCGTGCGAGTCGAGTCATCTGAAAGTACTAGACAAATGCGACGAACGTTATCAGCGTCAGGAACCAAGCTTAGTTCTTCCATGTTTGAAGACAGGAAGTCGATGTTTGTGTCGTTCTCAGGCTGCAACCTGAATTACCTGGAGTGTAGGGACGGCGGGGTAGTACTGTACGCGAGGCCTGACGACCCTCGGCCGAACACGCAACATTGACGCCTCACCGTCAACGCCTTGACAGCGACGCCTTAGCATTGACGACTTCGCCATCAAAGGCAGTGAGCGCACATGCTCCGACCTCACTGCTTCATCCGAAAGATCAAGTGTTAATGTGAGGGATGAACATTGTACTCCATTTCGATAACAAGCGAGATACACGTGCACCACGCCAACTTCATAACTATACCCCGAAATCGGCCGTGCTTGGCAGTCATGTGACGTATGCCCTCCGCATTTCCTCCAAGCTGTGGTGGCCTAAAGGCGCTCGCCAAGCTCAGATGCTGGGTGAAGAGCTCCGAATATCAGCAGAAGTCTCTGGTTGTCTCGCCTTTTGGACTGGTGGGGCCAGTCTACGATCACGAATGACGTTCTTGCCTTGGTGCCCAGGTGGCGTTGCACGGCACGTGAACAGGCCGTCCGCAACTGCCACTCACGATAATTTCGAGACCTTCGCAATCGGCTCTTACTCAACATGCGCCACCATGTGAGTAACGCTTTGCGACAACGATGAATGAAGCGTGAAAGAAGAAAGAATTCCAGCAACTTGCGCTCTTCCACGAAATACGCCAGCGGCAGGCAGACCCCTCTGCGGAGTTCGTGGAATATCCTGAGCCTGCACCCTCCCAGCTGGCGTTGTTGCAAATCTACCAGGACGTATTACACGAAAACTATCCTGCCGGAATCGCGGCAAAGCGGCTCGGTGACTGGGTGCTTTTAGTATCAGACCGTGATACCTGCTACGATATCGCCAACGCCTATGGCAACATCCTCATGCTCATTTTATCAGCCGCACAAGAGCTTTCATCTCGCAAAAACCTCCAGATACTGGCAGATCTCGCAGTCGAATTAGCGAATCTACCCGGCGTTTATAACAACACGGACAAACCAATGGTGTTTGGAGAGGGTTTTATCGCGGTTCAATCAGGGGAGAGGAATGAAGCTGCACAGTCAATCGGGAGGAGAACTATGGACTGGGCTACCATATTTTACTTCTTGGATTGGGGACGACTTGCGTAGCGGGCCCCTCCAGTTCCGCCAGGTCTCTGGCAATGAACACGATGATGACCAGCTACCATCTTGCAAACCCGAAGACATGTACACCAACGTCAACACATTCGCAGTTCTGATAGCACGACAAGATCTGCCACAAGCATCTCCGCTGCGCAGTTGTGTCGATTTTGCCTTTGCAACCTTCGCTTTCTTGGAGCATGGTCCTGGTACGAACTACGATGGAGATGCACGTGCTGCAGTTCGCGCAGCGGCGGCTTGGTTGGTGGTTGCGGGCAAACAAGTGGTGGCTGCAGGGTCTTCTTCCAGCAAGTACAGTCAAACCTCTGGCAGTCTATCGGAGGCTGAAGGCGGTACCAATGCAGTAGATGTCAAACGACTGCAATTCTGGAAGGACCGGTTCCAAAACTTCAGACAATCTGGAAGACTTTCGGACCAAAAGGTCGTGGATGCTACGGCCGAGGCTGCGATAGCTCTTGATGAATTAATCGCTGCGTAGATTTGGGGAAGATACAAGGTAGGCTGTGCATGAGAGATGTTCTCATCGATTCGTTAGACGGCAGTTGGTCCCATGCGTATCATCGATAATCTCGGTTCCCGGCTAAACTCGATCTACCCTGGCAGCTTTCTCACAAGAGTACCGAATCTTCCGTCTGCAGTACCTCTGCCTCTGATGAAGAACGACTGTAGGAAACAAGACCTACATCGTCAAAGTCGCGTGCTGCGAGAGACGAGGCTATCCGTTGAGCGGGCGATGAAGTAATACGTATCGCTAACCATGTTTCGTGGTCTCGATTGGCGTAATCCTACGCTGTACAGGATAGGAAATGATGGTCGAGATGCCATCAGGCTGAACATTGTCGACGCAAGCTCCGAGGACAACAGTTGCCGGCCCGCCAGAGGCAACTCCATGATTGGTCCAACCTGCGCACCTCCCGCGAGCAATCCCACCCGTGTGGAGATAAGATGTCGCTTGAGGTGGAAGTAGTCTGCTCGCCTATACGAAAGCCGAGTAAGGTCGCGTATAGAGGATCAACCCGAAGTCTATGTGGCCTACTAGCATAGTATATCAAGCATACTCCATCGACCACGTATCCGGCCCCAATAGACTCTTAAAGCCTCCGCAATGTTTTCAAGATGATCAAACATCATCAGTCGATAGGACAATGCCTTGGTTAGCAATATCCGGCTCAGCCAAGGTGGGAAGCATCATGACAAGCTCAAACG